GCTGTTACAGTGTGGGGATTGAAGAGAATGTCACAAAACAGAATTTGTATGGATTGTTGAATGGAAAACCAGTTTGCTCTGTAAACTTTCACCCAAATCACAGTAATAATAATCCATGTAGTTGATTCTGATGCATATTAAAGTCTGAAGACCACTGGTCTAAAAGAATTATCTTTAAAATATATTTCTCCAATGTACTTAAATTTTATAAAAGATCTGGGAGGGATTTAAATTGCAATGAGTAAGTTTGACTGGAATATCAGGCCATGGGAGAAAGACATTTTGCAAAGGGGTTTATGAGTAAAAGCTCAGCCTGAATAGCATTTTCAAGCTCAAGAGAAGAAATTGTTCAAATGTGAGTATGGGTTTGAAATGGAGAGAGTTAAGTAAATGTGTTCATTTTGAAAAGGAGAATTCGATTGGGAGATTTGGTAGGGAGAATTAGATTAATGTGGAGGGGAAAGAATACAGACAGGCTAAAAATCAAACCTGTGGGGTTGCAGAGCTTAACAGCAAAAGGTAAAATGGTAGGGCAGAGAGTGGAAGGTGAAATCAAGTTTTACAGAAGTAAAGGGTTACAATGGGCACTAATCATAAACCAAGAAAACAGATGAGCAGTAGAACTAAATAAATCCAAAAGGAAAATCTCTTCCTGGAGAGAGAAACCTTACTGATAATTTGCATCAACCACCACAGAGATCTCAGCCATGTGAAGACAGTTCAATTGGTTCCATGTCTTTCTTTCATATGCATTGCTGTGTACATGACCTGATTTACTTATGGTTAGATTTGCTTGACATGGTGTTGGTTACCCTCTAGTTAATCCTAACAGTAAAATGTACTACTGTCCAGGGCCCACCTGAAGTATGACTCCTTGGACCATCCACACAGAGAGAATATTCTTGCCCTTAGTTACTAATACCTGGACATGTCCCATCTGTCCATTATAAGACTAATATGGCTGATTTAGGAAAAAAGGCAGAGAGAGAAGGCACTTCAGGTAACGACAATACTGACTCTAAAACAAGATAATAATAGTGTTTTTGTGAGGATTGAAACATACAAAAACGCTTAGTGCCATATCTGGCACAGGGTAACTGCTTAGTATTTGTTGTTGTTGTTGTTATTTGCAGTCGAGTCGGACCAACTCATAGCGACCCCTCCTTAGTATCTGTTATTATTGTTAGGTGCTGTTGAGTTGGTTCCAACCCACAGTGACCCTCTGTAACAACAGAATGAAACAAGTAAGTATCAGTGTTGATCATTTTAGGTGGTTGCCAAAAGAAATTCTAACCCAAACTTGTAAATGTGTTGAATCTTGCAGCTGTACATAAATATCCTCTTAAAGGATAAGAAAGCAAGTTTCACATTGACCCAGAAGATATAAAAAACAGAAACTCAAACAGAGACTTGTATACCAATGTTCACTCAATGTTCACTGCAGTCCTATTCACAGTGACAAAAATGCAGGTACAATCTAAATGTCCATCAACAGATGAACAGATAAACAAATGTGGTATATACACACAATAGAATACTACTCAGCCAGTAAGAGAAATGAAGACTTAATACATGCTACAATATGGATGGAGCCTGAATACATTATGCTGAGTGAAATAAGTCAATCACAAAAGGACAAATATTGTATGATATCACTTATATAAAAAGATAAGAACAGGCAAATGTATAGAGACCGAAATTTCTTAATGGTTACCAGGGGCAGGAGGGAGAGGGAAAGAAAGGGGGCATTGATTATGGAGTCCTGAATTTTGGTTTACAGGGATGGAAAAAAATCACATTAATTAAGGATAGGGTTACACAGGCAACTAATGTGATTGCTGTCAAGATGTTGTACACCTGTAAAAAGTTAAATTACCAAAAGTTGGGTTATAGATATATTTACAACAATGATTTAAAGAGAGAGAGAGAGAGAGACTAGCTGCTGAGGCTGTTTATGTACCATCAAATACCTCATGGCATGTGGCTCCCTGGTTTGGAGGTTTAGGGTCATAGTTCATGGGACAACCCAGTTAATTACCCTAATAAGATTCAGTGCTTTGGCTACTTCTTAGTTCATTATGCAGTACTTGGAGTCTTAAAAGTTAGCAAGTGGCCATTCAAGTTACAACGGTAACTTTGGAAGCAACAGAAAGAAGGAGAGTCAGGAATAAGATGAGGAGATGGAATGTGTGGCTAATTGTTTTCATGAACAAATACCTTCTTTGCTATGAGGCCAGAAAAATTGGAGAGTGCCCACTACCATTACTGAATATTTTGATCAAAGATTCTATAGAAGAGTCCTGGTCAAAAGGAGATAAATGCAGAACAGAATTTCAAATTCTCATGGTATCCATATTTTCTTGAGCTATGGAGGCTGGATTAACTCCTGAAACTATTGCATTGAGACCTTTACACCTGCAACAAAAAATATCCCCAGAAGTCTTCTTTAAACCAAACAATAGTTTAGCTTAACTAGTGCAGAATGTGGGAGCTCTGGTAGCATAGTGCCTAAGGTGCTTGACAGCTAACCAGAAGGCTGGGGGTTCAAACCC